ACTTATATGACTGAGCAATATCTGGATTCTGTTCTTGTCATGCTGGTTCACTGGTGATCACTATTTAATGCACTACATATCTTACAGAATATAGTGACATACCTAATACTAATGACTCTTCCACCACGCCGTGGCTACAATCATTTATAAAAAGTTACAAAAAAAAATCAAATATTAACATTAATCTAATCAAATAGAATGAAAAAACCTACTTCTTGCTTAAATTTGGAATAACTAATTTCTTGGGCTGTTCCCACGGGAATTGATCTCTGCCGAAGTGGCCGTAACAGGAGGTTTCTCTATAGATCGGCCTCTTCAGCCCTAGTTCCTTGACGATGCGGCCGGGTCGGAGGTCGAAGTTTTCATTCACGATCTGAAGCAGCTGCTGGGATGTGTACTTGGAAGTTCCGTAGTGGAAGATGCTGATGCTGATGGGTTCTGCGACGCCAATGGCATACGATACCTGGAAGGAAGGAAGGGGGGGGGGTTGTTAGATTTTTGTAAAGTTGGAGGTGAGGTTAGTTAGCCCTAGATTTGGTTTCTGGAATGGGATATCGTAATTAGCATAAAGAATTGATGAAAAAAAAGCATTCAGATACCAGAACAAGAGACAGTCTACACACCCTCCTGGATACAGAAATTTTCCACACAAGAAGAAGAGAAAAACTCACCTGGACGAGACATCTCTTGCAAAGCCCGCCCTTGACTAACGACTTGGCCACCCATCGAGCAGCATAGGCAGCAGAACGATCCACCTTCGTGTAGTCCTTGCCGGAGAAAGCACCGCCTCCGTGAGCTCCCCAACCACCGTACGTATCAACAATGATCTTCCTGCCGGTGAGACCTGCATCGCCCTGGGGTCCGCCGATGACGAAATCCCCGCAAGGATTGATGTGGTATTTGGTCTTCTCGTCCAAGAGCTCTGCGGGAATCACCGTCTTGATGGCTTTCTCCATGACCTCGGTTCGGAGCTGGTCAAGCGTGATCTTCTCCGAGTGCTGGACGGACACGACCACGGTGTGCACGTGGAATGGGATGGCGGATCCGTTGCTGAAGGGAAAAAGAAGTGGGGCACGTTAAGAACTGCTGGTTAGGTTAATCATGATAAAAGGTGGTGATAGGCTGTGTCATGAAAATTTCAAGTTGGTATTGTGCAAAATAACAAGTTGGTGTTATGCTGTGTCATGAAAATAATGCTATAGGATGTTTAGGCTACTAGGAGAGAAAAGAAAACCAGTTACGTTTTGAGATGCTGTTTGAACCGACAGATAGATAGAGTGGTGTTACGTTATGATTTTCCGTCTGGGTTAAGAGAAAAATGTAGGTGCGTTACGTTAGATTAGAATAACTCGCAGGGCTAATACAAAAAAAAAATGATGTTATGTTACGAAATAACGTCTTGAGTACTATAAAAGCATATCTTTTTTTATTATAAGGCAAATTAAAAGAATTATTCAGATCTGTATCTATGAATTAGTGATAGTTTATGTCGGGTACAAATGGCAGAGAGAGAGAGAGAGAGAGAGAGAGAGAGAGAGAGAGAGAGAGAGAGAGAGAGAGAGAGAGAGAGAGAGAGAGAGAGAGAGAAGGCAAAGAAGAAAAACAGTAAGAACGAAAGTGGAAAAGAAAGAAAGGCTTTGGAAGGGGAATTTGTCATCCTCGAAGATAAAGACCAGGGGGTAAGAGAATGAAGTAAATCAGAAGAAAACAGCGAGAAAAAAATAAAATGTAGAAAAAGATAAGAATAGAAATAATGGGAAGATAAAGTATCTTTAAATAGAAATTTAAAAGCAAGCAGGGTTGGAGGGAGGGATGTAGAGAGAGAAAGAATGAGAAAAGTAATAAGGAAGGAAGGATGAGAGAGAGAGAGAGAGAGAGAGAGAGAGAGAGAGAGAGAGAGAGAGAGAGAGAGAGAGAGAGAGAGAGAGAGAGAGAGAGAGAGACAGAGAGGCAGAGAGAGAGAGAGAAGAAAGAGAAAAGAGAGAGAGAGATAAGAAAGAGAATAAATAAGACGTCAACGACAGGGAGGAGAGTCGACAGATAATAATAACAATAATAATAATAATAATAATAACAATAATAATAATAATAATAAACTTTTAATAATTTAATCCAGTAATTGCAAAATAAAGAAAATAAAACAAAATCAAAATAACAATACCAACAAGAACATCATTACTTTTAAACACCAAAATAACACAAAATTTAAAAAATGAAAAGAATCCTACTTACTCGAAGAAATACTCGGCTGTGATCTGTGTTTTGCTGTCCGGCCGAGCCCACCAGAAAGTGCCGTTCCTGCGCAGTTCAGCGATTTTCTCGTTGAGGCGATGGGCAAGTACGACTGTCAGGGGCATGCATTCCTTAGTCTCGTCGGAGGCATATCCAAACATGAGGCCCTGTGGAGAGGGTATGCGTTTTGAGTATTGGTGAATGGGCATGGTATGGTTTAAGTTGTGGGTATGGTGTGGTATGGTTTAGGTAGTGGGTACTGGGTATGGTATGCTTTAGGTACTGGGTGTGGTATAGTATGGTTTAGGTAGTGGGTAGTGGGTATGATTTAGTATGGTTCAGGTTGTGGATACTGGGTATGGTTTAGGTACTAGGTATGGTGTGCTTTAGATACTGGGTATGGTATGGCATGGTTCAGGTAGTGGGTACTGGGTATGGTTTGGTTTGGAGGAAAGAGGCTCTGTGTCTTTCGTTCTTTTTGGTTAAAATTGGTATGTTTTGGTATTGTTATACTGTAGAAAAAAATGCTTTGAAGGTATTTGAACTAAATAAGAAAATGATATATGTCCAAGTTGCTATACTGAAGGAAAAAATGGTATAATTTGATTCTACAGTCTAAGGAAATATAAAATAGTATGTTTTCTTATTATATATAAAGTATAATCGTACACTCTGACGTTACTTTGAAGCAAAACTGGTATACTCATTTGACGTCATTCGCATACCTAACATTTTATATATATTGAAAAAGTGATACCATTTTACATTAGTGTACAGTGATTGATAGAATGTGTAGGCCTATATGTTAATATGTTTTATGTATGGGTAAACATAACTGATATCAAATTCACCAAACTCGATGAATTAACATATACAATATTTGACTGTTTAAATCATACATTCATACACACATACATAAATACAGACATATATATTTACACGCTGTTAAGTAACGTAGATAAAAAAAAAAAAAATGAAACAGGAAAGTAAATTAAACTTGGGCTAATGAAGTACTAATCAGTCATTTCCATACAGGTTACTGAAGGCATTAAACTACTTAATTAAGCCGTATATAGGTAGGTAAGCTGTGGCAATAAAATCAACATTGGTTTGACTAAGAGAGCGCGAGAGAGAAAGAGACAGGAAGAGAGACGAAGAGAGAGAGAGAGAGAGAGAGAGAGAGAGAGAGAGAGAGAGAGAGAGAGAAAGAGAGAGAGAGAGAGAGAGAGAGAGAAAGAGAGAGAGAGAGAGAAAGAATGAGATGGTGGGAGGGAGGAAGAGGGAGAGAGAGAGAGAATCAGAGACAGAGAGAAAGAGAGGGAGGGAGGGAGAGGGAGAGAGAGGGAGGGGGGAGGGTGGGAGAGGATGAGGGAGAGACAGAGACAGAATCAGAGAGACAGAGAGATAAGCAGAAAAAGACACATAAATATAAAGGCAAACAAACTAAAAAAAAAAGAAAGAAAGAAAAAAAAACATTACAGAGACAGACAATGCAATCACACTGATAAGATTAGTAAACCGGAGGCAGAATGTGTAAACCAGTTACTGAAAAGCATGCATTGTGTGTTCACCTGTCACCTGGTCTTCTGTCCCTAATGAATCGAAGTCGGTGGGTTTCCTGTGTAAATCCAAGCACAAGCTCCTGGGCCAACACTGCAAAATCTTGTACCCCAATTCTGTGAGACAAAAACCCATAGGCTGTGAAGAAACGTATACACACACACACACACACACACACACACACACACACACACACACACACACACACACACACACTCGCACACATATACACGCGAAGCAGAGATTTGCCAAACTTCACGAAACATGCACAGCACAAAGAAAAAAAAAACACAAAACTCAGGAAAACATGTTTCGAATCACCATATAGCGGAACAGCATGGTGAATATATCTCTATATCACCTTGGCAAAAACACAACCACATATCCATTAACTCCAAAAATATATACCCGTAAAGCAAGTAAATCTTAAACCCGAGAATTAACCCCCAATTAATCGCTAGAAAACAAAAGCAAGTGAATGAAACCTCAGTTCGAACCAGTCCCACACACACACACACAAATGGACACCCGCTACCCAAGCCCGGCTCTTTCCCTACTGCAGAAGTGACGTACCTGGTCACCTGCACCGACATCCTCTTCTGCTCTGTCGACGTGAACACCTCCAGCAATGTTTGGTGACTGCTGTTCAATAGCGACGAGGAGGTTACATGTCGTGAAGTCGAAACCTGAATGAGAAAGAAGACAATGAAGTCGATTCTTAAAAAAAAAGTAGTTATTGTGGTTTCGTTTTCTTTAGGTGTCAACTGATGCGAATGCAAGTATCATAGTTGTTGTGGTGGTGATGGTGATAATTATATCATTGTAATATCAAGAACAAAGGTATGATAATGGTCGTAGAAACAATGATGATATCACAGTGCCAGTGCTAAAATGGTGATGATCATATTGATACTGATGATGATAATGGTGGTGAAGATGGCAGTGATGATGATGATGACGGTGATGGTGATGACGATGATGATGGAGGTGAAAATGACAGTGAAGTATCTGCGAACGGTAGAGGTACAGCACCCACCCTTGTTAGAATCGTCATAGCCAATCTCCTTAATTGTCTCTCGAACGACCTTCTGATAGTCGACGTGGGCTTTGGACGTGATCTCTCCACATACCAGGATCATACCAGTCTTTGTACACGTCTCACAAGCTACCTGGAAATGCAAGGTAATGTAAAATACCATAACTACTCA